CCAGCCCAGGCCTGCTAAACAACAATGGCAACTGCAAGAACAAAATGCTGGGTGTTATAGAGGGCACCTATAGTCCTAGCTATTTGGAAGGCTGAGGCAAGAGAATCATTTAAGTCTAAGAGTTGGAGGTTGCTGTGAGCTATGACGCTACGGCACTCTACCGAGGGCAACATAATGAGACTGTCTCAAAAAAAAAAAAAAGTCAATTATACAAGCAGCCATTATTAATATTAAGAGTCTAGGGGTGGCACCTGTGGCTCAAAGGAGTAGGGCCAGCCCCATATGCCGGAGGTGGCGGGTTCAAACCCAGCCCCTGCCAAAAACTGCAAAAAAAAAAAAGAGTCTACCCAGCTACTTGGGAGGCGGAGGCAGGAGAATTGCTTGAGCCTAGGAGTTGGAGGTTGCTGTAAATTGTGATGTCACAGCACTCTACCCAGGGTGACAACTTGAGGCTCTGTCTCAAAAAAAAAAAAAAAGTCTATTATGTGTCTGGCAGACCCTAGGGGGGAAAGCAAAGTGGATGAGTATGGGTCTGTAAAGCTGCAAGGAAAAATCATTTTTCTCTTTTATTTAGAATGGCACCAGACCTCCACTAGATGCTGATGTAAATTTGGAAGCAGTTGCTGGTGACCTTCGCTGTGATTGCTATACGTAAGTGTTTAAATCTGATGTCAATTAAGGGCCTCAGTTTGCTCATCTACAAAATGAAAACAATCAGCAGACTGACAGGAGGATTACATGCATACCTTGTAAAGCTCCCGGTGTAGTGTCTAGCTCAGGGGTTTTCAACCTTTTTTATCTCATGTCACACTTGAACCTATAGTTAAACTTCTTTGGCACACTTAAATTATGATGAATACAAAAAAGAGTTAAGAAAAAAGAATATACTTACTGTGCTTTGAACACCTTCAAAAATAATTATAATGATCTTTAAAACTTTTCATAGTGCCTGGGTTGAAAATCACTGGTCTAAACTTCTTGCTATTTCCTTCTTAGAGAAGGGAATGCACATTTGCAGGCTCTGAAGGGACTGCGGGGAACAGGAAGGTCCTTTTGTTGTTGAGTCTTGGTTCTCCAGCTACCTATACACCACTGGAGTTCTTTACAGATTATCTGTCCTTTTTTTTTTATTTTTGGAGACAAAGTCTCTCTTGGTCACCTTTGGTAAGTGCAGTGGCATCTTAGATCACAGCAACCTCAAATCCTTGGGTTCAAGTGCTCCTCTTGCCTTAGCCTCCCAAGTTGCTGACTACGACACCCATTCCAAGGCTCAGCCATTTTTTAGAGACATGGTCTCACTGTTGCTCAGGCTGGTCTCAAACTCATGAGTGCAGGCAGTCTACCTGCCTTGGCCTTCCAAAATGCTTGGATTACACACATAAACCACCGCGCTCAGCCCACATCTGTCTGTTCTTCCCGAATACATGGGTATTTGAGCAGATGTTTTATGATTTGCTGCCAAATTGTCCAGGTGCTTCAGCTCTAAAAAGAGACTAATTTACAAATGCCACAGAATGCATTTTTATGCCACACCTTTTCTTTTCTTTTCTTTTCTTTTTTTATTAAATCATAGCTGTGTAGATTAATGCAGTCATGGGGTACAGTGTGCTAGTTTTATATACAATTTGAAATACTTTCATCAAACTGGTTAACATAGCCTTCATGGCATCCTCTTAGTTATTGTGGGGTTTTTTTGTTTTTTTTTTTTTTGAGACAGAGCCTTAAGCTATCCCCCTGGACAGAGTGCCCTGGCACCACAGCTCACAGCAACCTCCAACTCCTGGGCTCAAGCGAGTCTCCTGCCTCAGCCTCCCAAGTAGCTGGGACCACAAGCGCCTGCCACAACGCCTGGCTATTTTTTTTGGTTGTAGCCGTCATTGTTGTTTGGCGGCCTGGGCTGGATTTGAACCCTCCACCTTAGGTGTATGTGGCTGGCACCTTAGCCACTTGAGCCACAGGTGCAGAGCCTTTTCATATGTTTTAAAGTATATTTGTTGGTGGGTGGCACCCATAACTCGGTGGGTGGGGCACCAGCCACATACACCGAGGCTGGCAGATTTGAACCTGGCCCAGGACAGCTAAAACAACAATGACAACAAGAACAACAACAAAAAAATAACCAGGCATTGTGGCTGGTGCCTGTAGTCCCAGCTACTTGGGAGGCTGAGACAA